ACGACCAATTTCAAATGTTCTAGCTTCGGGCATTTACAGGTGAATTCAGAGTAACATCATTAGTTTTATCTGTGACATTAGAGATAGTGGAGTGGGAGTTCAATATGATATACAGCGTGAGGATGGTTAAGGAAAAGTGGTACCTTACTGTATCACACCCTCGCATCATCCCACCTGTTGAGCATACAAATAAAGTTGAGCCTTCTGATGCTGGGGTACCTGCCAATGACGTGCCACCGCCTCCACCTGATATTGATGACCAGCAGCGTCTGCAATGGTAGTTGTTATTATGGATAACCTCATGGTTTGATAAACCCAGATGGTGAGATTTTTACCGGATTATCACGGGAAACACACATAGCCCGTGGGGGCCGATTTAGATATTTTATTTGACATTTGTATTATTTGTATATTTTGTGACTCAAAATATTTAGCATTGTACTTCTTATTACATATTATTTTTTCGATTACAATTTTCGAAGATGAGCATAACTTAACACATTACAAATAACATAAATTAACAGTAATAAATAACAACAAACCCTAGACACTATCAAATGACTCTAGACATTTTAACATATTGATTATGTCATCGATATATCTTGAAATTGTCGCATCAAACTCAATCGGTCCCTTAGTTAGTCTATGGTGAAATATTCTCCATATAAGGTTGTATTTCACTCTTCCATCAGTATCAATCTAATCTTCATAAAACTCGATCTTTCTCACCTTTCTGTTATCGGTATCGTTCAAAAATTCATTCAACTTGGATGACAAGGCGGAGAGAGATGTAGTGCTCTCTGAAAGTTGGAACTCTATAGGTGGTTTCTCTCCGTTGAAGTACACTTCAGCCTTAGTAAAAAATTGAAAAAGAGACATTTTGAGATGTTTTTCTCAACAATAGATGACCCCTATTTATACATGTTTGAATTTATTCTGGAGAACATAAAATGATTGGCGCAATCACGGCCGTACAAAACTGTCAGCAAAATCATAAACGTTGGAAATTTAACCTACCGGAAATTTCTTTGATCTTGAAGTTTGTGATACTAAAATGAGAATTTCAAATTACTGGTATGATTCAATATATCCCGAATATTTCAAAATTTCCGATATTATTTAAAACCTGCAATATTAAATTACACTACCAAAAATTTCAATTTTACAAAAAATTCTAATTTAACAATCAGAAATTTAGTTCAAACCTTTTTACTAGAATTTTTCCAGGGGCAATTGGGAGATTAAGAAAATATGTGGAGGTGTCACATTTAATTTAGAGGGTAACAAGTTAAATTCTCCTATTTAAGTAAAGTAAGAATATAATAGTCACATTAAATGAACTAGAAGAAATGAGACCGTAAACATAAGAGAAAATGAAGCAATATTAAGTTACAAACAAAAAAATACCATGACAAGTATTTGAGAAATTAACATGCCACCCCCAAATTTCATTATTCTCAAAATACCCCTTTCACTATTTATTCTAAATTTTTTACTTTTATCAAAAAATATTACTATTAGTCAAATCAAAGGAGATAAAAATCGAAATTTTCAACACTCTTAGAAATTTTTGGGTACCCATTTTTTGTCGCATACCGGAAATTCTGTACATTCTACAAATTTTCGATTGTCATTTATCTGAAATTTTGAAATTTCCAATTGCAATTTACTAGAAATTTTAAAATTTCCGTATATTTTACAAAAGTCATTACGCATACCGAAAATTTGGAAAATTTTCGATAGAAAACCTTTACCAAGAATATCGAATTTCCGGTGTACCGGAAATTTCAGTTATACTTGAAAATTCTAGTATGTCTGTAGATAAAGTTTTATATCTTTGCGGTCCTGAATCGGCAACTTCAGCTTCTTCAATGGATTCATGTATTGACCTTACGCAGTTCTTCATCACAGATACCGTATATTTTCCATTTAATTTACACAATTTTTATTCATTTTTGTAAATTGATGAAGTTTATTGTTGTTGTTCCAATTCGATCTGATTCTGCTAATGGACTGCAGGGGAGGAAGGATAAATTGATTATGGGTTGTGACAGAGGAGGAAATTACAAAAAGAAAAATGAATTTGCGAGACCTTCTAATAGTTAAAAAAACAAAAACAAAATTAAGTTCTAGTATTATCGAAAATTTGAAATTTCCGGTATTTTTCCCACACCAGAAATTTCAAATTTCTGGTTTTTTTTATAATGATGAAAAACACTAGAAATTTGAAATATCAGATACCGAAAATTTCAAATTTTCGGTTACGTTCATATGACACGATAAAAACTTGGAAATTTAACGAAATTTCCGGTATTTGCATGAAATTTGCGATACGGAACCGGAAAATTCAAAAATTCCAGTATATTTCAGGAACGGATTCGTAAATGTGCCATGTCTAAGGGTGGCATGTATAATATGGAGGGTGATAACTTAATTTCTCCAAGTATTTAATCAAGAAAGAGTTTACAATAGGTCAACGAATACTATTATATTATTTAACTCGAGGTTGAGCATTTTTCAAGATAAATTCAAGTCCAAATGGTAAGAGTCGTATCCGGTAAGAGTCGTAATACCACACGGAAGAGTAAGTATATTAACATTTATTTGATGTAGTATCCAACAATATAAAAAATAAGATTCATCATCATGCTTTTAAAACTAGAAATAAATACTTCCTCCGTTCCTTCTAGATACATTGATTATTCAATGAACCTAAAAAGTGAATGGTCTCTTATAAAAAGAAACGGAGGGTAGTAATAAACAAACATTTTCTTCCCATGACACCCCTTTGGAAACACATGGATCCTAACAAGTAAACCAATAAATACATGACATACCAGAAGTATGAACCATCATCTAGGAAACATCTCTGTCGCAATATCTGTGCCGCTAAATTGCGTCGAGGTTTGATGTTGATTTTCAGATCTTTTGTACTTGATTACTTGAGACGACGACGACGTCTCGTTCAGTAACTGCTCATCTTTCCCGACGTATCCCATCTGTATATTCCAGTTCAGTTAATGCCTTCTCGTTAAGATGAACTTGTTTGGACAGCATTTGTAGTACTTGTTTCATGGTTGGTCTATGTTTAGCTGATGATTGGGTGCAAAAGAGAGCAACCACAAGGAACCTATACACCTCGTTCTCGTCATAGTCGGTTAGTTCGGAATCAACAAGTTCCAGAAGCCGGTTTTCTTCTTTCAGCTTCCAAGCTGCATACATGAATGACATTATTCGCAGAAACTTAGATATTGCAATTTATATGACCAACAAAAAAACAGATGCGTCAACTTTATTCATCTTTGTGTTGCTATGTATCCGGCGAAAAAAAGACCAAAACCGACATTATTTATACACTAGGAACGAGATATATACCCATTCCACCAGAACCAAAATATTGTCGCCAAATGCAGCTTTGCTACTACTTTTACCGCTGATTATTTCAAGCATCAGAATCCCAAAACTATATACATCAGCCTTCTTTGTAAGCTGTCTTAGAAGTGCGTATTCCGGTGCGAGATATCCCCTGCTCAGACAAAACAAGTAAGCTACGCTTATCCATTACGACCAAGTCTCAAAACGTAGTCATGTATGTTGTCTATAAAAAATTCATAAAAGTATGCCTCTGCGCTTACATTGTTCCTGCAACTCGGGTACTAACATGAGTGACATTGTCAGGAAAAAGTTTTGCAAGACCAAAATCACCGATTTTCGGATTGAATTTCTCGTCCAGCAATATGTTGCTTGCTTTGATATCTCTATGAACAATGTTTGGCTGAGCTTCTTCGTGAAGAAAGGTTAGACCAGAAGCTGTACCGCAGCAAATAGCAGCCCTTTTTCGCCAATCCAACGGAACACATTTACTTTTTGAACCTGTAAGAAAATGGAAAGTTAAACTATGAAGATAATAACTTTTTTTAGTTAGTTATTGATGATATGAAAGTACAGGTTACCTAACAAAGCACTAGCGAGGCTATTGTTCTCGAGAAACTCGTACACCAATATTCGATGATTATCCTCAATACAGAAGCCGATTAGTTTAACAAGATTTGGATGTTGTATATTTGATATCATCTCAATTTCTGTCATAAATTCATGAGTTCCTTGTTTAGATTCTACAGAGAGAGACTTGATAGCAACTTGAGCGCCGTCCCTTAAAACACCCTGCAAATATTATTTACAAGGAAACAAATTAAGCAATAAGACAAAAGCCGATGATTTATTTGAGTTTATCTACTAGTATTAACACTTACGAGCCTGTTTGAAAAACTTGTGAGTTGTGAATACTGCTTATGGCATGTCGCCATAAGCCGTTTTCAGCTTATTTCCATAGCCTCTCAAGGATAACTGACTAAAAAAAGCTTATAGCTATATGAAAATAGTTTGACATAAGCACTTATATGACAAACACTTATGCTATAAGCGCTTAATTAAGGTGTTTATTCAAACAAGGTCAAAAATGAAAAGGAAGAAAATCATTGACTCATTGGTTATGATTCCCACCTTGTAGACAACTCCATAGCCTCCTCCACCAATTTTGCAGGACGAATGAAAATCACCCGTAGCAGATCTCAATGAGCTATAGCTAAAGCTTTTAGTTTCCCCCACTGTTAATCACAAACAAAGCTTTACACACAAGAAAACAAAGAATACAAAATTTCTCATACAGTTAACACTTGAAAAGGGTCAATAATATAGTTTTGGAATGGTAGTGTTCAAGACAATGAAGTCTCACTAGATCATGAGACTTTCACATTCATATTATGCTTAAATAATTTGCATATCATACTAGCACTGCTTGCTCCATTAAATAGGGGTGGCAAAACGGGCCCGGTCCGCCAGACAATGCCCGTTTTGCCCACATTTTTTCGTGGACGGGCCCAAGATTTTTTGAGGGTGCAGACATTAACAAGAATATTTGCAATTTTGAGCAATTAGGGGTGCAAGGCCCGCATGCCCGCCCCGCCCTCATTTTGGCGCGAGACAAATCAAGGTTTTAGGCCTGCACCATCAACTATGTCCACCCCGTCCCATTTTCTTATGGGCTTTTGCAGGGCAGGGCGGGCATCCAACGTCAACACATTATCGAAATATTGACATTATAAAAAGGATATCAGTCCCATAAAGCTATGTGTCACTGACACCTCACGTGAAAGGTGTGTCTGGTATCGAACGCCAACACAATATCGAAACATGTGATTACAACCCTCAATTTTCTCACTTTACACATTAGTCACTTTAAAGGATCTAAATCCACAGTTGTACTACTATATGAAGCTACGACATATCCTAAAGCTTAATTTCAATTTTCAATTTAACATAACCTACACAAAATCCTCAGATGAATTTTAAAAGCTCAAAAACAAAGATTAAGCTACAACTCCATACATTTCAATTCCCTAAAAAACCAGAGCAAATTTTAAGAAAATGCAATCTCTTAATGAAGCAACCAACCCTCTATTTCCTCAAAAAAAAATAGGCAATTTCAACCTTTATAAAAACATTTATCCATAATCTGAACAAGAAAGAGACAAACAAAACAATAAATTATGACAATTACAAACTCAAGAACTTGTGTACAAAAAATTTAAAGCCATGTTCATTTTCTGTACCTTGTTCAAGCATCTGCTCAGCAGGTTCACCCTTCCCTTTACACCAATTCAAACCACCAAAGCAACTGCAAATCATGACTATGCCACCATCAAACCCTCCAAACACACTTTTCATACAAATTCATCCCACATACCAACCACCAATAACGATTGAATACCAAAACCAAACCCTGAATCTTCAAATTGAAAGGGATGCAAAAAAACCGAAAAGCAAAGTTTTTTATTCTGATAGAAACAAATGAAACCAACCCTTTATAATTTATGAGTGATGAAAACAAAATTGAAAGGTTGGAAGGAACGTGTGAACCCATAAATGATTTTTGTAATAAAGGCAACAAAATGGAAGCTCTCAATGAAAAGTAGTGACTACAATGATCTAAGAGTAGTGTGTGTGTGGGGTAAAATATGAAAGTGACATGTTTTTTTTCTTCTTTTTTTTCCGTGTTTGATGAAATGAACAATGGAAAAGGAACATCACTACGTCATTTGTTGTCATTGACAAAGTCGTCATGGAGACAAGAAATAGTCAAAATTCATGGGAAATAGTCAAAATACAGACAAAAATACACTTTTATTCATGTCCTTGGACTAGTACAACAACTAATGAATTGTTTTCAATAATAGATTTTGTTACTGCCTTGCAACATATTTCAAACAAAGTTCTAAAATGTCACACTGAAAAATTAATGTTCTAGAATATTTCATTTGGTAAAGTGGTTCGGCTATTGGTCGAGGGCTGAAATTTTTTGTACGTCTAGGTTCGGCCAATCATTAGTTGAGGACAAAAATATTATATTACTTTTTTGTTTTTCTTATTATTTTAATATTTTTATTACTTTTTTATAAATAGTTTTGTGTGACAATTTGTGTATTCACATAATTTTATTATACATGTCCTCATTTCTCTATTAAATATGTCTCTAAGACTGCTTTCAATGTTTTTGATTATTAAAAGAAATGTTCAATTGTTTTTTCCGCTAACAAAACTTTCGATGAAGATCCAACTTTGGAACACGGAGACCTTCGAGTATTTTTTAGAAGAGTTTGATCTGTTGGTTAGAAGAAGACATTCTTGACGGTGAATAGATTAGAAAAATTGATAGACTTGTTACGATGTTCAACCAAAATGGAGAATCTCGTTTCTGGAATCATGTTAAAACTGACAATGATGTCGTTATGATGATGTATGGACTAGCTGATATTGTCTTGATGGGTCTGCTGCATCTGAATATGTTCTACGCATATAGCCAATTTGACGAGAAATCCCATACATTTTCTTTTCTTTTTAAACATCGTCCATATTGGTTATAATTCGAGTACTATTTAGACATCCTTTCTTCTTCCTTCGCATAGTCTCATCATGGCAACTGGGCGAATTACGCCATTCTAGGTATCATGACGGGTTACCCGTCACCATGGTCACGCCTGTCACGACTCTAAACATCACACCCATCACAATTGTGACGATCGGCTTCGGAAACAATCCTGGGCAGCATGACGGGTTACCCATTACTAGCGTGACGCCCGTCAGTGCCCTCGAGGCCACGACGCCCGTCATGGTGACGGCGCCCACCATTAACCTATAGAACACAAAATTGCGTTTCTGCTATAAAGGTCAAATCATAACTCCAATTTTTCATTTCAAGCACTAAAATCGATCATAATTCAACAGATAATCACATTACTAACATCCATTAGCCTATATCTATCAATTATCATGCATAATCAACAATGCTTTACTACTTTTATCATGATTCCAAAACCTTTAAAAGTCTAACAATGGTTAGATTTCATCAATAATTCAAACAAAATTTAAAACATATCATGGTACAGAAATTTTATCATCAATATAATCACACAATAATAAATCATCATCCAAATATAGAATTCAATCGAAAACCCACAATCCTATTGGAGGTTTAGGACACCTCATTCTACTCCCCATGCATAAACCCATTAAAGAAGTAGTCCCCCCCCCCCCCCCCCCCCCTTACCTTAACTCTCCTAGCCGTGGAACCTTATTTTAAAGGTAACATGTGTTATTTTGATGATGACAACTGTAGAAAGATCATAAAGTTTATTCATCATATTAAAGATGTAAAAGCAGATCAATACAATAAGATATCACAACACATAATCAACATGATAGAGATGTAATATGATGATTAATGTAGAAGAGCAATGAAAGTACACTGGATATAGTAAAAGATGCAACCTTTTTATAAGTCAACCAAGAAGAGCAATAAAAGAACATTCAACATAGCAAAAGGTGCAACATGATGATTAAAAAATCAGATTAGATGATACTCAGCATAACAAAGATGTAACAGTTGAGAAAGTCAACCAATGCACTTAAACGATTAATGCAAGCCATGGGTTTGATAAGAAAGACTCAAATAAGGATAAAGAAAATCAAAAGCCTCAAGTCATCTCGAAGCAATGGTCAAACATATAGAATACATCAGATACAAGATCTAGATTGATCGTCCTAAAATAGTAATTGAGTGAATCAATGTAAGTAAAAGCTCTTTCTCTGTAGAAGTAGTTGACGATAAGAACACACATACATTAAAACTTTTTTAAAGATGTTTTGAAATGAAATGAATTGAATTGAGGAAAATATATAGAAGTTGCATAAAAATGATGAGAGCATTTCAAAAGGCATAAAACTCTTTTTTTGGCTATACTTAATCGATTAAGCTTAGATGTTAATCGATTAAATAAATTACCCCTTGTTGAATAAGGAATTTTGAATTCTCTCAAATGATTGACAATGACTATATATCAAAACCTACCATTTTGGAAAAACATAGCCGTTGGAATTTATGTGTTAATCGATTAAGTCAATTGATTAACAATGATTATTTTTCATTAAATGAGGTTTCCTCTTTTGGGACTCATCAAGTCTATAAATAGATGTCTCATTTCCTCATTTCATTTCATCCAGAACTCAAAATGTGTAATGACACACACACAAACACACATTATCTCTCTCTCTCTCTCTCTAAGTTTTTTCATCACTTTCTCTCACTAGCTCTTATAGCCAAATGATTTTGTGAGGAAATTTCTTTTGTGAAGAGGGGTTTATGTATTTCTGGTTGGGTAGCAATGTATAAAGTTATTCAAGATTGTTCTTGATTCACCTTGATTAAAATTATTAATTTTTAGGGAAATATTATGTGGTTCGAAGCTAAACCCGTTAAAAGCTTTGGTTGGGAATTTGTGTGATTAGGTTCCCATAATCTATATAGGTTGGAGGATATTAATATAGTTAAGCTTCCCTTAAGACTATTATTAATTCTTCTTTATTCAAAGGTTGAAGATCAACAATATTGATGAACTCACTGTTAGGTTCATGGTTAGCCCGTTATAAAATCATAGGTTAGTTGATCACCCCGTTAAAATCACGAGTGGTTAATGGTTATCCTGTTAAACCATATTGAGTCAGATATTTTAGTTGAGAGAAGTGATGGAACTTTGATCTACAATTGGGAGAAGAGCTTGGACACTTTGAGTAGGTGTATGTTTCTCGACCTTTGGAGACTCATGCGTTACCTATTTACGGTAGAACGAAAATAACATGCCTTTTTGAAAAGGTTTTAAAGAGAAAGAGCCAAGAGGAAAAAGGTTTGGATTTGTTTAAGTGTTTTTGTTAGTTTTGAAAGTGTTTAAGTATGATTAATTATTTTGAATTTTGTATTTAGGAAATAAGTTTTAGTTTTATTGAAGAAAAAAGAATGTGATGTAAGAGGAGAAATGTGGGGAAAGTATACCCTAATGTTATCATGAATCATGGACTTAGAGTTGGGATTAAGGGGATTAAAATCTTAATTGTTATCAAGCTTGGATTAGAGGCCTAAGGTCTAATTAATCTAATTTAATCAAGAGATTAAAATTGAATTAATAATCCTAAGGGGACATGTGAGCAAGCAAGCAATCAAACAATAGTATCAAGTATCAAGAGCAATCATCAAGCATCATCAAGATTCACTCACAAGAAATCATCAAGATGCACGGCAAGATGAATGAAATGCATAGAGAGACGTGAAGCAAGTTGAATTAGGTAAAGGTAGGTTAGTTGCAACATGAATAAGTACATTGACATATGGACAAAGAAATACAAGGATTTCTTAGTTGGTTTATGATGGTGGAATAGTGATGAAGAATTGTTGGAGGTCATTTGTGATGCCTAAGCATTCGACTTATGGGTAATATGAGGGATGTATGCAAGAAACCCTCAGGATGGAGATGGAAGAAAGAAGTTAAATTACTTAGTTTGAAAATATATTGATGTTGGATCAAGCTTTTGTTTTGTATTTGTTTTCGAAACACACATATATTTGTAAACTATGGAGTTCAAATCATAACTCCGATTTTTCATTTCATGTATTCAAATCGATCAAAATTCAACACATAATCCATATATTATCATCCATTAACCTATATCCATCAATTATCGTGCATAATCAGCAATGATTTACTACTTTTATCATGATTTCAAAACCTTCAAAATTCTAACAATGGTGGGATTTCATCAATAATTCAAACAAAATTTAAAACATATCATGGTACACAAATTTTATCATCAATATAATCACACAACAACAAATTATGCTCCAAACACAAAATTCAATCGAAATCCGCAATTCTATTGGATATTAAGGACACCTCATTCTACTCCTCATGAATATACCCATTAAAGAAGTAGTTCTCCCCCCTTACCTTGATTCTCCTAGCCTTGGAACCTTGTTTTGCAGGTAACAGGTGTTGTTTTGATGATGACAAATGTAGAAAGATCATAAAGCTTATTCAGCATATTAAAGTTGCAAAATCAAGCCAGTACAATAAGATATCACAACATATAATCAACATTGTTTTACCCCAAAATTTGTCCTCTCAATTCACTCAAGACATGCCTCCAAAGATCTCCAGTTGCTCAAGTTGACTAAGGATTGACCAGACAAATCCTCCTCTTAAGATAATAAGCCTCAAACTAGGGTTTCAATTTGAAGCATGATGGTTGAGTCCTAATGGTCCCAAATGTACTTCATTACCCTAGTATGTCCCCAAGATCACCCATGTCAAGTTTCATGCCTTACACAACAAGTTTGCTCA